AAGACAAGAGGAATATATGAGTGAGTAAGAGAATGAATAAATAAAAGGATAATTATATCCTTGTCAATTCCATAGTTTCTTTTCAAAATTATACTTTTATTTATTCATTCTCTTATTCACTCATATTCCTCTTGTCTTTCCATCTCGTTCTATTATGGTTTTTTACCATCTTATCATTTATCTTCATTTTTTGTGCCCTCTTCATTTCTTCTCGCACATTCTCTCCTTTCTGCCTTTCTTTTCTTCTTCTTTTCTTTTCTTTCCTCTTTTATCTCCTTATTATTTAATTGAGCTATAAAAATTAAAAACAACATAAAGTATTCAAGTTTTACATCATTATATATTTTTATGCATTCGCCGATATTTATGTGATATTATCGTTGTTAATTTCATAACTTTTCTTCTAAATTATCATGGCAAACACATTTCGCAACTTTTAAAACTATTATACATTAAATATATAATCTCGTTATAACCCCATTCTCTTACGCGAACTGTCACTCGACTCCGCCGCGGTGACAGTTATAAGTCGGTAAATTGGTAATCGTAACACTCTCGTCATCCCGCTATCTAACGGAGAATATAATTAATGGACATTTCTGTGATGAGGAGACGTTTCTTACGCATAAATTCACGATTTCAGACTTTGAGCTAAAATAGCTCAGCTTCTGGAGCACGTAGAGAAAAAATGAAGATAGTTTTATTAAGTAACGTAAACCCAAGGAATCGATTAAATTCCTCCAGAACTTCGTCAACTCAGCCGTTATAGCCAAAATGAAAGTCTATCTATATTCAACTAAAGTCGTCGCGTAATTATACACGGTAGGCCACTTGCTTCACGCTTGCACTTGGCTTCGCGACACTACCGTATCGCTTGACTCGAATATATATATATATATATATATATATATATATATATATATATATATATATATATATTGGGTGTACAACTTAATTCGGTCCGTTTTTTTGCTTGAAAAACGCATTTATTTGAATGATAAAATTAATTAATACATTATTGAAAGTATTGTCCATCGCTAGCCACTACTTTTTCCCATCTTTCTGGCAATTTATGGATTCCGTCGCGGAAGAAGCGTTCATCTTTTGAAGCCAAGAATGAATCGAGCCAATTTTTGATAGCCTGTTCTGAAGTGAAGTGTATTCCAGTCAAAGCGTTCTGCATCGATCGAAACAAATGGTAGTCGGAAGGGGCAAGGTCTGGGCTATAAGGCGGGTGAGCCAGAACTTCCCATCCGCTATTTTCCAAATAGTTTTTAACCGGAACAGCAATATGAGGCCGAGCGTTGTCATGATGAAAGATTATGGACTCGTGTCTGGTCGCATATTCTGGACGTTTTTCGGCTATAGCTCGCTTTAAACGGATCAATTGTCGCCTGTAGAAGTCTCCCGTGATGGTTTGACCAGGTTTTAGCAGCTCATAGTGGATCACACCCTTCTGATCCCACCAAATACAGAGCATTACCTTGGCATCATGGATATTCGGCTTCGGCGTTGATGTTCCCGGTTGGCCGGGCTTTACATACGATTTTTTGCGTTTCGGGTTGTCGTAGTGAATCCATTTTTCGTCCCCGGTAATGATTCGATGCAGAAAAGACTTCTTTTTGTACCGTTCAAGCAACATTTCGGACATGCAAAATCGTCGTTCGATATCTCTCGGTTTCAATTCGTATGGGACCCAATTTCCTTGCTTTTGGATGTATCCCGCGGCTTTGAGTCGTTTCGAAATAGCTTGTTGAGTAACTTCCAATGTTCTTGCGAGCTCTTTTTGCGTTTGACACGAATCTTGATCGAGTAATGTTTCTAATTCTTCATTTCAAACTTTTTCGGTTGACCCGAACGCTCTTTGTCTTCAACACTAAAAAT